TTTGAATAAGATTGAAGTACAAACTTTGTAGATGACAATGAAATATATGCTAAGTCGAAAAATGAATTCACTAGCTAAGCGGTCTAATAGTTTGGAAATCAAATTTGGCCCGAATCGATCAAACTTAGTCAAATTTCTAAGGCTAAAAAAATGGTTTTGGCAAAGTTATATTTGTTAATTTTTGTAGAGTAATTGGGCTAATAGGTGATGTGGTTTGTATGGTTTGTTTTAGTAGCCTAACATGCCCTCTTAAGTATAGCAAATGTGGTTTGGCGATTGGATGAAAGGTTTAGACTTTTAGAACGCTTTAAAATCATGCTAAAGACATTCTGGGCCGGTTTCATCAGCAAGGTGACATACCACCTGCCATGCCTTTGGGCACTCAACAGCCAGAAGGCATTAAAGTTCGACGCGACCGATGCACACATCGTGTACTTCAGCCGCGTTCTCGGCGAACCAGTTGAGGCCGCTGGTTAGCTGGCCGGCTTTCTCTGGCCATGAAGTCATTGCCGCTGTCATCGCTGGGGGTCTGGCGTTCTGGCCGGATCCACTACCGCCTGGCCACTTCTACCTACGCCATGTACGCCGCTTTTGCATTAAAGTCAGCATCACGTCTGTACAGCCGCGTCATACCGCCTCGACCGGTAGCGGATAAAGCTCGCCGCGGGTCATGCTGCACGCCGTCGCCACGCCCATTAACGGCGCCCGATCCCAGCGTGGGCCACGGCCTATCCACCGATGCACTCGCTCATCCATCGTGCTTGGGGCCAGGGTCCCTCGCCACAAGACGGCGCACCCCCAAGCAGATGCCCCGATCGGAGAAATCGGGACCGAGCCTCTGCTGTAGCCTCAGTCTCGTCAGCTGTGGCTCTACCTTTCTCTCTCTACTTGGCGCAGCCTTTGGCGCCCATGAGTCGCAGCCAGAGAGTGAGTCACCACCTATTCAATTTGCCTCGATCGCATACAAGGCTTCTCTTGTCCTTCTCACCGTTTATGCCACCCGCAGACCTTGATGCTATCCGGCCAGGTATCCACTTAAACGTCTTACCCGGCCGAGCCATTAAGGTCGGCGGCGGCATTTGCGAGCACGGACAGCCTCGCTCATACATCGCCACCGGCCCAATTAGCCGCATCACACTACCTTCACCTAGATCCTTCCTTCACCTTCGCTGACCTCACCATTAGCCGCTATTTACCACCTTGGTCATCGACGCGATCGTGTCACCGCAGCAGGCACGGCCAGATTCCACCGCCACACCGTGGTCAGCCCAGTCTGGGAATCTCCCGCCTGAAACCATCACCACAAAGAACAACCGTGGCACTATAGTCGATGGCTTTAGAGTTAGCTAGCTCTCCCCGCAGAAGCGGCTTAGATTTGGCTTCTACAGTGGACGCACCGCCTATCGCTAGCTAAGGGCGCGGCGTGTGGCCGATGTTTCAGTGAGCTCCACCACTGAAACCTCGGCTAGGGGTAGGCGCTTAGGGCTATAGGTGTTGTTCGGCTTGCTATCCTGGTTAGGGCAGGTCTCGGTCAGCTGATGACTGGCCCACAGTTCCATCAGGCACGTCAGCTTCATAAGGCTGGGTGGTGTGGACCCGGGCCATTGTAAAGAAGGGTTGTTCCAGGGCTACTTTGTTTAAGCGTAGACCTGTGAGGAATAGTGTTGGCGGACCTCGGGGTGAATCACTTCAGAACTCAAGGGCATTTTCAAGATAAGTGACCAACTGTGCTGGCCTCCCCATCAAGTACTGTTTCCGCGTGGCTGGGCCACGTCCTGTAGGCTACTTGTGCCATGGTCACAAGTGGCGCATCGTTGCCGTCAGCTCATGGGTCATGCTGCTGGTTGAATTTGTTTTTCATTTTTATAGAATATAGAAATAGCCGAGTATATTTACATTCAAGTTGAACTTTGGAAATTAATATCAATTCACATAAGTATCAAAAATTGTGAAATAAATTCTATTGAGTTCCTAAAAATAATGTCTACCGACAGTATGGTTAGTTTATATATAACGTGTTGATGCTAAGGTCCATTAAATCATTTAGAAGTGTTAATGTTATTTAGATTAATAATTGTAGAATTTTTTGTTGCAAATTGGTAATAGCTTTGGCTAAGAAATTTTTACAATAGGTTCATTAGATTTTTATGCTCACCGTAATTTTGTAGCCCTTACATAGGTTGAAAGAAAGATGGTATTAAGTACGCCTTTGTGGTAGTATATATATTAAATCGATAATAAGAATAAGGATGCCTTTAGTTGCTAAGATAATAAATGAAAATGTTTCATACATGTTTAGTAGGAATAGTAGATAGCTTAGCTGCCTTAGTCAATAGAGTTAGCTTTAGTAGCTTGGTAGATGTATTCTTATTTTAAGAGTTGTTGTTGCCAGACATTAAGTGTTGCATCATTATTTCA